TTTCCCCTTTCAGTTATCCATTCCCTTCTTAATCCAGATTTTTAAGTGATCTGGACTGTCCATACATCCAAACAAGCAAGCAAGAAAGAAAGAAAGAAAGAAAGAAAGAAAGAAAGAAAGAAAGAAAGAAAGAAAGCCTGTGAAGGAAATAAAAGCAAAAATGTACACGACAAAAACTTTGGATGAGGCATAACATAGTAAATAATAGAGGTCTTGGGAGAACAGTTGGTAAAGAGAAAAACATCAGGGAAAGAAAAGCTTGTTTTGTGTCATGTTGGTTTTTATTACTTTTTAATATTTAATCAGTCAGAATACAAACCCACATTTTATTGCCTACAATTCTGCATAATAATTCAGAGATAATTAAATTTAGAACAAAAGACGGGGAGAAAAAGGCAGGCAACAAAAGAGACAACAAAGAAAATGTGAGCTCTTTAAAGTAACGTAAAATGAGTATGGCAGCTCCAGTCTAAGCAAATTCATGCTTTGGTAAGCTTTAGTGGCATAAGAGATTTATTTTTATATTCAGTAAGGGAATAAGAACTTGTGTTATGAAAAGAGTGAAGCGCTGAGAGAAGATCTTTTAAAAAAAAAAAAAATGGGGGGGGAAAAAAGAGTTTCTCCATTCATTACAGGTTGCGTTGTTCCCATCTTTATTATAGCCACACGACTCAGTATTAACGCACTTGGGTGTTTCCATCAATCTCCCGGCTGCTGTAGGTCAGGCAGCTGGTGCCGCAGCGCGACCAGGCTTTGATTGAAGAGCACGCCCGGCAGCAGAACAACGAGCGTCTGCGCAGACAGTTTGCCAACCAGGCCAATGTCATCGGGCCTTGGATCCAAACCAAGATGGAGGTCAGTGTGAGCAGAAACCGCAGTCGGAGGAGCACGTTATAAGTTGAGAATGAAGCCAGAGTGATGGTTTGGTCTTTAGGTCTGAACTAGAAGTTATTAGTTTTTTTTCCTGTCACAGAATTTCATATTCAATTTCATATTAAATAATGATAAAATAAATAAGACTTTAGTTTTGGCTTTTTGATAGTTGCTCTTATTTGGTGTTAAAATATTATTTTATAACACTTTGAAATGTGGGAGCTACTATAGCCTTATATAAAGGAGACATTTTCGTGTTCTTGAAAGCTTGATCCAGGTGGTACTTGCATAATGGTGACATATGTTATATTCAGTAAAATAGCAGAGATGCTGTCCTTTAAAAAAAAAAAATTTTAAAAAATTGATGAACGAAAAGCTTCAAAGCCAGGCTGTGGTATTTGATTTTTGACTATTCTTGAATGGATTCATGTGTGCATGTCCTCCTCTCCGCTGTGACTCATTGTTCTCATTAAAAGGTGTCATAACCTTCTCTGTGTGCTTACACAGGAAATTGGCCGCATCTCAATCGAGATGCACGGCACCCTGGAGGACCAGCTGACGCACCTCCGCCAGTACGAGAAAAGCATCGTCAACTACAAGCCAAAGATCGACCAGCTGGAGGGAGACCACCAGCTCATTCAGGAAGCTCTCATCTTTGACAACAAGCACACCAACTACACCATGGAGGTAAACATTTCTTCTGGCGCCAACAAATATTCACATTACTGTTCCTAATTTCACTTCTTACTCCGGCTTTTTGACTCATCTGTCTGACTTGTCTGTGTCCTGTGAATACTTTGGTTTTCTTGGTTTCCAAACACTACAGAACAATAGATGGCGGTATGTTTACATGCCCACAAGAAGGCCTTTAAGAATATGGAACTTTTGGCGGTTTACCATCTGGTCTTCAGTGTACAGTATCAACTTTCTGGCACATGAGCCAAGTTTTGGGGAACTATCCCCGCCAAGAATAGCTTTTACAAGCCAAACTAATTTGTATTTTGTCTGCATAATTACAGACATATTTTCCAAACTTTTATGTAGGCATCTGTCCAGAATCAGCTACTGGGAAGCAACAAAAGCACCTCGTCTACTGTTTTTTAGTAAATGAAGGACATTCTTTTTTTCTTATGAGAGTAGATCTCTTCTTAATCTACTTTCTTGTTGTCTCACACAACAAATTACATGAAAATATTAAAACCAGCAATAAATTCATTAAAAGCTCATTGGTGTATTTCTGTGCCAGCGAGCTCTACTGTTGTCCAAAAATTAGAGAAGAAACACATCTGTTAGCTGTGATGTCGCCCTTTGTTTAAGGGTCAGTCCCGTATATACAGTCCTCTCCATACACCACAGGTGTCGAACTCCAGGCCTCGAGGACCGCTCTCCTGCTTGTTTTCCAACTAACCTGCCCTTGTAGCTTCTTATTAGCAAAGCACACCTGATCCAGGTAATCAGCTGCAGGTAGGGCAAGGATATCTCAAAAACAAGCAGGATGCTGGCCCTCGAGGATGGGAGTTTGACACCCCTGCCTTACACGCACTGATCTGCAGTTGAAACTAGTCCCCAGCAAGTAGAATATTGGCTCCTGTTGCAATGTTTGCCATGCTCGGCTGGTTTAGTAAACTATTTTGCATATTTGTTTGTGTTTTGACCATTTTCTAGCTGCACATATTTGAGCAGAATCTAATGGATTTGAACCCTGAGTACCACACGCTGAGAGATGGTTTAAACATGGTTTTGCTGTTTTTATGGGCTTTGTTGACATGAACATAGTTTGGAGGATGCTGTTTTATACACAGCTGAGTGAATTGTACTCAGTCTGGAGTGCGGTTGATAGACAGCCATCATTTTTCACTGTAATCTTTGTACCTGTTAGAGCAAAAGGGCAGACAAATAATAGAATGTGCATTATCAAAGCATTCAGATAGTTGTTCTAACATTTTATTCTTCAAAAGTTCAATTTACAGTCTATATCTGACACATCTGCCTTGTACTGAGCTGCAATTTTCCTCTTCTCTTTACACAGGGCATAAAACAATCTACAAACCACCTCGGCTAAAGCTCAGCTAAAACCAGTCCCTCTGAAACTCTTCTTTAGCCCACCTTAACACTTCCTTCGTCTTCATCTTTCTCTCCCCTCCAGCACATCCGTGTGGGCTGGGAGCAGCTGCTCACCACCATCGCTCGTACCATCAACGAAATCGAGAACCAGATCTTGACACGAGACGCCAAGGGCATCAGCCAGGAGCAGCTTAACGAGTTCCGGGCTTCCTTCAACCACTTCGACAGGGTCAGTACTCGCACTGTGCAGACACACTGGAGAGGTCCGGACATTTGCAGACAGCTTTAGTTTGTTTTAAACTTTTTTTGACATTTGGGAAATATGCTTTTAGGTTCCTTCACTAACAAATTTGATGCACCTCTCATGTTTGTCTGATAAATGTGAGACTAAACCAGCTAAACACAGAAGAAGAAAAACGGTTTTCCATGTTCAAGCAACCGACATCAGACACTAGCTGGTTAATTAGCATGCTGTACCTCATTTGCATTCAGCAAATGAGATGAAAAGTTGCACAGTTTGACAAAGGTATTAACTCAGACTGTTTCCTGGCCAGGTCTTTGGGGTTTCTACACATACACGCACCAATAGCAACAACCTCAAACCTCTTTGGGAAGTGCCAAAAATTCCTCTATGCAGGAAAAACTCTGAACTTCTGAGGTGCCCTTTTGTGAGCTTTATGAGCTCTAGGCTAACCATGTACTGCCTCTACTATTAGACAATGCATTTTTCCGAAATGTCAAACTATTCTTCTGCAGATTTAAGTAACACTGTGGCATGTGGAGTCACTCATTTTTCTGTATATTCAGACATCACCAGCAAAGCAAAGAAGATGAGGTGAGGCTGTATAACCTAACCGGTTTGAGATCATTTTTTTTTATCCTGTCATGCTGCCCGACGTGTGGCTAACAGCAATCCTTTAACCAGAAACTTGAAGAAAATGAGTGTGTAGAGTAGAGTTGTTTGTGGAACGCGTAAGGGTGCACCCAAGTGTTATGGCTGGGTTGAAAAGAGACTTACAGTTCAGTGACGCAACATTCATCTTTAAAAGCTTTCAGACATTTTTGGAAAAGTGGTAGTCTGGCAGAATGAGCCTCAAGGCTCAGCTGGATGCTTTTGTGATACGTGAAATTAAGATGGAACAGAAGAGGAATATTAAAGTTCACATTACAGGCTTTCCTTGCATAGCTGCCTCTGTAAAGCTCCTTCTCCTACCTCCAGAGCTTAGTGTTTACACTGGCGCAGAAAAGTCAGGAGCAGCATCAATTATGGATGAGATTTTATTTATCTCCACCACCCCACCCCCGCACATTACCATAAGTTCATGCCTTCATCCGGAGCCATCCTATTGTTAATCAATACCCGAGCTCAACAATCAGAGTCCACAGGAGCACAAATGTAGACCTCGTCCTGCTTTGGTTTACACATGTTTAGCTGAAAGCTCAGCTAAACACGAGTTGGTAGATGTGATGGGGACCTAAAGTGCTGCAATTATCTGCTTTTTAAATTCTACTGAGGATAAAAGCAAAAAGTATTTCCTGGTTGTCTCAGGATTCACATCTTTCTCTGAAGATTTTCTTTGTTCATGTTTAATGAACAGCTTTTCTGACATTGCTTGATTAGCCAGATATTAAGCCAGATTAGCCAATACTGAAAAAAATAACTGAATAATGATGGTGGTTACAGCTTCTCAAATGGGAATAGTTGAGGTTTACTTCATCTTCTCTCATATTAAACTGAAAATGTTTGTTTTCGAAACCCAAACTGACGCTCTTAAACCATCTGATTTTGTGATTAAAAAAAAAAAAAAAGACTTATGATTGTGAGAAGTGTTTTATGACGTGCTCACTCCAGTGTTTTGCTGTAAAAAGAAAGTTCTGCTTCTAAGAAGGATAATCATTGTGTTGCTAAGTACATGTGCCATCAATGATATCGATAACCTCTCCACAAGGTCCTGTAGTCTGCCTGCCACACTGCACATTAACGCCTCTGAATGCCTCGCCAAGCATGGCAGCACTGCTGCCACCGTGTGTTCACCTGCCAGATCCTAATGAATATGCACTGTGTTCTCTGTTTTCTATCTCTTGTGCATGGCCCTCTTCACCCCCTCACCTCTTTTTGCCCCCACCGTGCATGGTGCACTACCCCCACCCACTTCTACTCCTTCCCCACCAACACCACCTCACCTGTCCTGCCCCCTTCCACCACCACTCCCTCACCTCACCACCACTGACACCCCTGTATGTGTTGCTGCATGGCCTGTGGCCCCGACGCCTCGCCTGGCACTGGCCTCCCACACCCCAGGACCACTCGGGCACTCTGGGCGCGGAGGAGTTCAAGGCCTGCCTGATCAGCCTGGGCTTCGATATCGCCAACGATGCACAGGTACTTAATTGTAACTACGCCCTTGCGGTGAGAGGTTTAACTGGTTTCTTTTTTTTTTTTTTCTTTGGCTTTTTCCCCCTTATACTTCAATCCCTCCCCTTCGATTCTATTCTTGCTTTTCTTCCTCCTCTCTACATGTCCCTCTGTGGTTTCCCCCTCACCTTGCAACATCCACATCGCAAATTGTGTGGATTTCTTCCTTAATTCTACTCTTTTTTTAACCTTTAATGCTTCACATGGCTATCCCTGCCCCTCCTTCTCTGTTTCTCTCTTTTCCGCCTGGTTTTGTTTTTCCCTCGCTGACATCTTGTAGAAGAGAACAGGAATCATGGACCCTGAAGACTTCAAAACCTGCCTTATCTCCATGGGTTACAACCTGGTAAAGCCATGTGCAGTTTTCAAGTATGACCATTTGTTTATGTGTTAGTAACAAGAAGCGGTAATGAGATTTATTTTTTTTTTACCTTAAATATGATCAAATACTGTGCTGTTGATGTTATTTTGGACTTGTCTAATTTTTTTAAGTGCAATTCAATTTATTCTGAACTGCTTAAAATTTGCTTGTTTATTACATACTTGCACATTAACAGTAGGACAAATATATCACTGCATGCAGGGTGTCAGTCATTTGCTGTGCTTTGTGCATCGTCTCTCATACATCCTCTCTGTTACCACAGGGTGAAAACGAGTTCTCCCGCATCATGAGCATAGTGGACCCCAACAGAATGGGCCTCGTCACCTTCCAGGCATTCATCGACTTTATGTCCCGCGAAACAGCCGACACAGACACCGCCGACCAAGTCATGGCCTCCTTCAAAGTTCTGGCAGGGGATAAGGTAAAGTATTATATTAAACAACACACAGCCTATATATATTGGTAAAAATTAAACATAGATAATTCTGAAGCTTAATCCTTTAGAATTGCACTTAAAGTGGTCATAGTTAATAACTGAGCGCTAACAATGAATGGCATGACTACCATAAGTACACAGGAGATTATCTGCAATACATCTCAGCTCTGCAGAGCTTTTGACCATCATCATTTGTTTTCCTGGCTTTTCTATTATCTTATGTTTGTCTAATTTTGTAACATCTCTTGTTTGTTTTTGTCATGCCTGTTAGAATTACATCCTAGCTGATGAGCTCCGCAGGGAGCTGCCCCCAGACCAGGCCGAGTACTGCATCGCTCGCATGGCCCCGTACACTGGCCCCGACGGTGTCCCCGGAGCCCTCGACTACATGTCGTTCTCCACCGCCCTGTATGGAGAGAGTGACCTCTGAACACTGTCAGTCGTCCTGGCGCGGGACCACAAGCCTACTCTAATCAACCGCCACGTCCTCCGAAATGCCCAGTCACCACCCTCCTGTTCATTTTTTTTTTTTTTTTCTTTTTTGGTATGTCTCTGGCCTTATCTTTTTGTCATTATCCTATGTCTCCTCCTGCTTTTCTCCCCCTCCACCTGTCCAGCCTCTCCACCACACTCTGTCTCCGTTGTATTTGCTTCCCACGCAATGCAGCAGCTCTCCAGGTTTACAAAGAGGGAGAGACAAAAAATATTTTTTCTGTTTTTATTTTCTTGTTGTCATTGTTTTTCTTCATGAAATGAATAAAGTTAACATATTTTATTATACTGAACAAAAAAGGTATTTTTCTTCACCTGATTGAAAATAAGAGACAACAATTGTAATAAAGAAAAAAATGCTATACTTTCTCTTCTAATTTTGTTTGCTCCAGGAATCATCAGTGGCATTTTTTTTTCCCCAAAGAGGGTTAAGTGGGGAGTTTGTGCCTGTAGTATATTTTCTTACATCTTTAAACTACCTGTATGACTCCTAAAATCCAAAGAAAAGCTGGTAGCCAGTATGTGTATATGCGAATATATATATAGACATTTTTAGGCCATCTACTCATCGGAAGGTTGGTGTATTCCTGGCTGCTCCAGTCTGCATGCCAATGTACCCTTGAGAAAGACACTGAACACCAGGTTGCTCTCTGATGCATCCATCAGATTATGAATGTATGTGAATGTTACACAGAAACTAGAAATGGTGCTTGAATGAATGGGTGAATGAGACATTTTTTACACAGAGCTTTGATTGCTCAAGTAGAGTAGAAAAGCCCCATAAAGCAGCCAGTTTAGTTACCGTAGATGTACATAAAATGATCATTAAAATTATTCTCAATGTCACAAATTAGAAAAATAATGGAGAAAAAAGTGGGGGAAAAAAAAGAGGGCACACCGGAAAAGAGCCAGAAGCAGCTTTCGCTTATTAATAATTATCCTTGCGTTATTTGTCATGGCCTAGAGGTGAGTGAGATGGTTCTATGATAAAGTTGACATAGAGCGCCACAATAAGCCACAGAGAATATTCCTGTTAAAAACATAGAAACTCAGACATATACAGTGGCTTGCAAAAGTATTTGGCCCCCTTGAACTTTCCCACATTTTGTCACATTACAGCCACAAACATGAATCAATCACGTGAAAGACCAATACAAAGTGGTGTACACGTGAGAAGTGGAACGAAAATCATACATGATTCCAAACATTTTTTACAAATCAATAACTGCAAAGTGGGGTGTGCGTAATTATTCAGCCCC